ATCCAGGCAGAGTTAGCTAAATGCGATAATAAAATTCAAGGAAGATCTATCAATCTAACCATATCTTTAATTTCAAATCCTTGGGTCCACTTGATCAAGTTGCCAGATGAGAGAGAAGTTTGCTTGACCGGAAAAGGAAATGTAAAGCCAAGGCTTCTCCCATCTTGCAAGTGTTCACAGTTGTCGTTTTCCATTCCAATGAAATCCTTCAATGATGATGCAATTAAATCGAAGAGTTCCTTCATGATAATAAAACCAAGGTGGAGAAAAATATCACATATGCAAAATCGACAACAGCTAAATTGATATGTCAATTTAGAAGAAAAACCCATAATAGACAAAGTCAGTTACCTCACTGGTGCCGCTCAGTAAACGTTGAGGAATGGTATGTTGCAGTACATCAGGTCTGAGAGCAGTAGACCTTTGACCAATAAGTTGAACCCGCAGAACCCGAAAGTTTGTATCTCCAAGGTCCAGAGCATAATATGTTCCCTTCTCACTACTAAATACACCAACTTATAAATCGATATAAGAGTAACCAAAACATGAACAATCAAATAAAAAGCATAGAAATGACACCTTACAAGCTTTTTGTTTTTCTTGAATTTTCAAAACATAGTTGGAAGCCCCATGTTACTCTTACTTACAAATTAGAACAAATGAACAATTGATAGACCCACACAGGTAACCAGATCAACATTGGAGCATGTGCAATTATTACTTCTAGAAATATGTGGACACACTACTGTCATGTTTCTAGGTAACAAAATTATTGTCAGCAGCAAGAGTGTCTCTTAAGTCAAACCAAGGGAACCAACAATAATTGGAAATACAGTTCCATTATTAGTTTATTACAAAGGAGAAAACTCTAAAAGCACTCATCCAGCACTGTCAACACATTGTATATAACTTACGTCAAGTATACTGCACCACTCATAGAACAGCTTACATAACAAAGCAAATTTGATTGCTTCTGCTTGTGAAGCGCCACTGTAAAATCTAATAAGTTGAATGTTTGATTAAAAATACAAACTTCACCAGACAACAAATTATCTATGTTCACACCACAAAGCAAAAGACGCAAGAGTTTTAAAAATTTGTGGAGAAAAAAAACACAGGGACCACCCTGCCCCACAAAATTAACTAATGAAATATATCTTCCATTCTTCCACAATAGAGGCTGATGAACAATGTGTCAACACTGCCAACTCAAAAAGATATAAAGTGAATCTAGTCTAGATGCGATAAAAAGTGGCTTAGGCCTTGTGATAAAGTGTAAGGTGTATTTTAAAACAAAAAAAATATCCCTAGGAACCAAACGCCAAATTCAACTTAAATCACCTTTAAGGAGGAATCCACAACTCACGGTTTTGATGATCAGAAAAAAGTGATTGGATAAGAAAAGGGTCCAAGAACATGTATAATCCCATTGAAACGCCAATGAAAATGACAATACGCAAAAAATACAAGAAGCACCAAACATTAAAGATGAAGTTAAGCAGTTCTGTTCTATTTAAGGCAAATTGAATCTTTTGGTTTTTTGCAAGCAGTGAGGTCTGTAGTCTGTACAGCTCGACTCCAAGAAATCAAACACGTGACCATTCTCAGAACCACAAAAACTAAAACACATTCAAACAGCCCTTTCTCCAATTACATTAAGGTGAACGCTTGTATTCAAATTGAGTTTAAAAGAACATACCCCTTAGGAAGATTGTCCACATATGTGAGCAACATCTTAAGCTTGCTCCCGCCTTCAGATGCAAGCCCGGCATGCATCTCGACCGCCATAGCATCGACTACTTTCTGCAGCCGCCCAACAGGCGTGGCGCAGGCCTCCTCCAGCTCCTCCAGAACCGACGCCACCTTCTGCCACTTCTTCCGCCTCCTTACCCGCCTGCCCACCACCACCGTCGCCACCACACACGCCGCCACCGCACATCCCATGACTAACCCCACCCCCAACCGCCCCATTTTCAGAGTCTTTCCCAAATCTACTCAGGTTAAACCAGTGAAATCATCTCCACACGACGGCGTTTCATACTTTCATAAAACCCCGTTTTAAACTCCCTCTCCTTCCGAGGGCTCGGCGATTGAAAGCAACACACGGTCAACCGTACGGTTTGACCAAACACCGCTGTCACACTTCAATGACGATAATTGCTGCCAGTTAACCACAGTATTAACGTGTGTGTGTGGAACACGCGCAATACACACCTTTCTGTTCCAAAAAAAGCCAAAATTGATGAAATTAATACTTCCTCGTCTGGGAGGAAACGGCGCCGGACGTTGATGCGCGAAGAACCGGAGAGTTCCTCCGGCGGCGGAGACGCGGCGACGGCTGCTGGGAGAAAAGTTAAGTGAGAGAAGGGGAGGGTCGGTGCTGTTTGGGTTTTGTACAGTAGGAGAGTGCTGGAAAGCGAAGGGCGGCATACTTATAGCGGAGGCGTAATGACGGATTTGCCCACGGAGAACATAAGAAATGGCGGATTCGTTAACCTTTCGTTAAGCGTGATTTCAACTTGACCGTTTGCGGAAATGGGAATTTGCCAGGTTGGATTTTGTCCCCGGGCGGTGTACGAGATTGCCATCGAGATGGGGAAGGTATTACGGGTTTGCCACTGGCTTTTTGTGGTAAAATTTCTAAAAAAAGTGAAGGGATGAATAACTGGGAAAATTCCCGTATATGAATGGGAATGATAATGTGAAAGGCTGATTGATTAAATTGACTCGGTCTGATATTGAACGAAGAGAATGTGACGATCTCAGGTTTTGCGGTCTCATTAAGAGAAATCTCTATTATCAAATATTTTTGAAGTGACATGTAAAAAATGTTGATAGTGACTTTCTCAAGTCTTTATCTCTTAGTTGGTTCATGTGGATATTTGAGTATGTTTTTATTTGGTTTGTTTTTAATTCATGACCTGATTTAAACTGATCATATCATATTTTCATAGTTATAAAATACGTTGAAGTCAGACATTTACCAGATCAATTAAGATCAGTCTAAACCTAATTTAAACAGATCAGATCCGACTTAAACAGATCAGGGCAACATCGATTCCTTATTTAATTTCTCACTATGTACGCAATCAAAACCCTTTGACAAACAAAGACTAAGCATAAACGGCATTAGGTTCGAAGCGAACCATAGGAAGAAGGGATAAGAGCGGTTAACACCGATTGACCGAAAGTTGCAGGCGCTTTGTCACCCAACTACGCAGTTAGGAGTTGAAGCCATTGTTTTTTGCCTTTTATTGTGGAGTACTCCATATATAGTAAGTTTTTTTTAAAAAAAATAGTCATATTTTTGGAAAAATATTTTTACCTGTAGTTTAGAATTTAGGGAGAATTACAGTAAAGATAAGTATGGTTTGAGTCGTTTTTAAATAGGGACATGTGTTTCATTTTTCACAAAATTGGCACGTGTTTTACTTTGATGTGTCACCTCCTTTCTAGGGGGATCCTCAAAGTGTCCCATCTTTTTAAAAAAATGAACCTCATGCCCCTATTTGAACATGGCTCAAATCACAAGTGTTTTTAGTGTACTTTTCCTTAAATTTTAAGATCTTTTTGAAAATTTCAAATCAAACTAGATCATGTGAGATTAGACTTGATAATTTTAGTTCAATTAAAAACATTTAATTCATGATTCAACTGGTGTGGGACCAACCTCCCTAAAAATGTCGCATGCCAAATTTATTATGCTCAACCCAAATTTGTTGGGGTCTTCGTGTAAGGGGTGATAAATTACTGATAATCGAGTATTTGCATTGCTTAAGGATCCTCTAAGTTCAGTTTCCGAATTGATATTTCTCCCCTATGTCTGGTTACAAGAAATTCAATCTAGGATAATCTTTAAGGACTCTCAACAACTTAGGCACAAGATCTAGAGCTCAAATTAGTGAGTATATGGAACGCTTTCTTTAATTCGAGTGTCATAGTGATGAAGATATGTTGTATATATGTTCTTTGTATGAAATATGGTGAGATATGGTGATATATATCCATATTAACCGTACCAAGCAGTTAGAAGCAGTTTGGGAATAATTGTGACAGTTTATGAAAACTGCACGAAACTGCTCAACCGCTCTAAACCTCGGGTTCCATTGTCGTAAATACTTTGAAATTATATTTGTTTTTATATACAAGTGTGCACTTCACAGCTACTAATTTGTATTAGATCATAGTTCTAATCCCTATTGAAACTCATGTCATTTCCAATTACACGACCAGTGACACTAAAATCACTAACAAAATTTACTTGATCTTATATGTTAAAATTTTGAACTTTTTAGGTTGTGATTACTAAAATGGTGTGGAGCCCGTCTAATAACTAATAAGAAATTTTCGTTTTTAATTGCCTAATCCATTTCTTTTACAAGTTTTGTGTAATCTATTCAGCATCACCTTTCTGCAAATTCAATATAATTACTCCTAGAGAGAGTAGTGTGGATCACTTTATTGCAATTTGCAAGGAACCCATCAATCAGCTCTAGGATTGGAGGAAGAGTTACCCCTCGTCAAATTATTATAACCTCTATGCCTGTAGGATCTGTAATCCTAGTTTCTGAGTACTTGTGGCCAAAAGTTTGGCCATATAAGGTCAAAAAGGATTTGTAAACCTTCCAATAGACACAATTCTCCTCATAGTCACACCTTTTTGCATACGTTTACTTTCAAAATACACATAACAACACACCTTTATTAGACGATATACTTGAATAAAGCACACCAGAAATTTTTATTGCATGTGAAACCATTACAAGAAACATCTACTGATCTACCTTGTATATCGCATATGATAATGTTTTTTTTAGAGGACATATGATAGAGTTATTCAAACCTTGTATGCAATTTTTCTTTCTTTATTTAAGCTCAGTTCATATTTGTTTTATCTAAAGCTTTTGTATTCATAGGTTACACACACAAACACAAATAACAATAAGAGTTATGGACTTATGGTAATTAATTTAGCAATGATAATAAAATAACCAGGTCAAGTTATGTTAAAAGGATCATCATATCAGAAATTCAGAAGGAGAAGGCAGTAAATAACAAAAGGGAATAAAACAGCTAATTCATTTAAATAAATAGCATCTCCGGGTGTAATAACCAGGGGACTCTCATTTTCATTTTAATTTAGTCTCCTCCCACTTGCACACACCGGATAAAAAGGAAACATAATCCTATATTGTTACCTCTGCAGCTCCGCCTAGCTATTGTTACCTATTTTTGTTTCTTTTTCTTCCTTCTAACGAGATAAATAAATACATGTACAAAAAGACATAATCTGGTAACTACTGCCTCGCTGTTTAGGGATCATCTGGGTAACTGTAGAAACATCATACACACATTACAGCTGTTTGTAGAAGAGAATGTAAGCTTGCTCATGCAGCACTTTGCTGGTTGGGATAGGAGTAACAGCAGCATCGTCATAACGCAGCCATTTTCCACTTGCGTGCCGTGCATCTGCTGTGTAGTGTCCCTTGTAGGGATCCATCCCGTGATGAGTGATCGTCGCAACCAGTTCATACCTCCTACTACCCTGTATACCACAACCACATCCACACATCATACCAATTTTAGAATGCGACAACCATCAAGGTCATATATAAAAGAAATTATCTTTGTCTTGGCTGTATCTGTCCAGACCCTTAAATCTGCTTGGAAACCAATGACACATTGTTTATAATTGCACAACGCAATTATGCCTCATGGCACGCCTCAGCTAATTCCTGGACTATGGCGTAAAAAGGCATTTCTATGGCGCTTGGAGTACGCCACATTGGGTTGCAATAAGGCACAGTGAGGCATATGCAATAGGAGGTCAAGAGTGTTAGGTATTATTTGGGTCCCACTCGGTCACTTTTTACTTTATATAATTAATATTTTATGCAGTTAAAATCCTTATTTCAAACCACTAGATAATGATGATTTGGTTTTCCAGTCATCAATATAATAAACTTAAAATTTCAATGTGTTGGGAATTTTGTCTTAATGAACAGTTTGCAAATTTTTGCTCTTCTGAGCTTTGAACTTTGGACGTATTACTGTGCTAGGATTATGGCCTCATTATAATTTGTTTTAATATGACATGACTTTTGATGAAAAAGTTTTTGTTTTGTTTATATACATACACACATATTTTAACGCCTCAGTCATATGCCTCATCGCGTAGTCATTGAGTTTTAAATCTTTTGGGATTATGGCTTGGATGTTGTTGTTGTTGTAGGCATATGCCTCATCGCACATTGAAGCTTACGCAATATGCAACTTTAAAACGCAATGACTACGCAATAGGCAATTTCAAACTTTGCAGCGGCGACGGGGTCCCATGCTGTATCCAACAGATTCGAGTGCTGGACAGAGAAAGCAGATGTAGATAAACGCCACGCGGTGAACATAGTTGAATGTACAAGTTCCGCTGAGCAATGGAGATCAGGAGCCGTAAGATCTGCATGGACCCCACTGACTAGTGGATCTTGTGCTGACCCAATGGCTCCGCAAGCTCCAAGAGGCACACTTGGCCTTTTGGCGAGACATAAAAACCGGATCAGGAATAAAGACACCAGGTGGACATAGTTAAATTGTGTCAATCATCGAGGTCACACTGAAATTATTCTTGGCATGGGGCTCGGAAGAAGATCCGGAGCCGTTAGATCTGCTCATACCCCAGAGGTTAGTGGGTCGCATGCAGGTCGTAAGGCTCCCCCACTATTAACAAGAAAAAGGAGAGTCCCACCTCAGAATAAGAAGAAGCAAGCAAATCACGTCCAAATACAAGCTCCAAAGGGAAGTGCACAGATTTGTGCAACTTTGTGCTTCCTTCACTTCCGTAAGTAAAGCGCATCAGATGCAACACCATGACGTCAGAAAGCTTTAAAATCTTCACAGACTTGCTGGCAACCACTACAGCCTGGACCACATACATCACATTGTGAGAATATCTTGCCATTTTAACAAGTATTGTATGATTCATGATGCAATTTCAGCTTCAAGCCCAAAAGTGTTGCCGAGTGTAACATTAAGTGAAATGCAAACACTTCTATAACTGTCTAGTAGGCTCACCATGATGATGGATTTGAAAGGATAACAATACGCTACTTGTAAACGACTTGTATGAAAGTTCAACAATATAATTTTTAGGGAAAACTGTCAAATAGGTCCTTGAACTTTCATAAAAATGTCAAACAAGTCCTTATATAGGAGGCTCTGTTTGGCCGTCGCGATTTGTGGCGGTTCCCGGTGGAATTTTTTGATGAAATTTTTTGAACATCTTATTCATCAAGTCTAGTTTACTCATACCAAATTTCAGCTAAAACTTCAAGCGGGAACGCATTCAAATTAATTCTTCAAGATAACTGTGCAGTTAAATGCGAAGTTGTCTTCAAGAATTAATTTGAATGCGTTCCCGATTGAAGTTTTAGGTGAAATTTGGTATGAGTAAACTAGACTTGATGAATAAGATGCTCAAAAATTTTCATCAAAAAATTCCACCGGAAACCGCCCTAAATCGCGACGGCCGGACAGAGCCTCCTATATAAGGACTTATTTGAGCTTTTTATGAAAGTTCGAGGATCTATTTGACAGTTTTCCCAAAATTTTATTATTATTCTAGATGCAACTCAATTAGGATTAGTTTAGAAGCAAGAAAAGTGAAATGGAAAAGACAATGCTGGATGAAAGCAGAATTAAGTGAATAAGGATCACCTTCTCATCTGTTGATGTTTTATACCCTTCAAGAGTCTCAGGTGCAGAAAAGAGTCGAAGGGCATCTTCTATTGTACAAACAGGGTCTGGGCAGATGTTAAGGTGGATCAGCAGAAATGGCTGTACTGTAGCTGAGGGTTTAAGACCTGTATGATTTAAAGAAAGCTAGGTGACAAAACACAAACAAAAGGAAATGGAGGACAGATAGTCAGATTGACACTCGGTATGATATGTGCGGGCATGTCTGTCTATACCATTTCTTAACAGCCATGTATATATCTGTATTAAAATGATAAAACCTCGGTCTCCTTAATTTTTTGAATTGAACTTTTCTGAATTTTCCCTACCATCCTCTTTCACCCATACCCTCAAATCCAACCACATTGTAAATGCCTGGAATGCAAATGACTTCCCTTCCGGAGAAAAGAGAAACACACATATTGAGCATCGTATTTTAGTGTGGCTTACCTCTTGCCTTCACAATGCTCTTCAACTGACCACCAAAAATTTCACTTAATTTTGAAGGGAGAAAGCTCTGTGTCCTGGTAATTGCAGTTTTGTTTCGAGGACCCACGGTTTCCCAATTTTCATCATCATCATCATCCACGTGTATTGATGACACCATAGAGGAGTTTGTTCCAACACCATTTGGCAACTGATCTTCCAACTTCAGCAATTCATCATGCAACTGATGCATAATAAAACTTAGGAATTCTTGGGCATCTTCTTGCCTGAATAATAGCCAATTCAACCATATCATAGAAAAGACGATTACACTTATGAGCATATTAAACAAAGTCATTCTAGCACATAAATTCAAGAAAACCTTAGACAAATAGGGGCAGAGCACCCTTGTGAAATTTTACACTATCATCTTAAGTGATAATTCTTTTAGTAATGGAATGCACAAGTTATAGTACTTAGCATGCACTCCATATGTATAAGAAAATTAATATTAAAAAAGGGCCACACTATTAGAAATTCTTAGTCTACTACTGACACGCACACAAAATTATCGAGTCAAATTGAATCCATACATGATCGTGATGATACATCTAAAATATTTCTTTTAGTTTGGGCTATGGGCCAGTTCATTGATAGATTAACAACATCACCTGAAGATTGCGGCGAAAAAATTTCTGTAGCAAGAATAGTAAATAGAAACCTTGAAAAACATGCTCAAACAACACATAGTGCTAAATAATAAACACATAAACAGAGACTAATTTAAACAAAAAAGTTATAAATCATGCTTCAAAGTTGAAAAAGACAGGAAAAAATAAGATACCTCATCCTTTAGGTTGAAATAGTAAATATATTTTGATATCATTTATTTCAATATTTTATGTTATCAAATGATGAGTAGCAAGCTATAACTTTGACAAATCACAAAACATAACTCATGATGCATAACTTTGAAAAGTTACAATATGCATAATGTAGATGTTTTGCATTTTGTAGTTTGTAATATATGGTCCACATCTACCAATTATTATCCACCTGGTCCCACAGTTATCCTAATCAACATAAATTTTGTCTGCCAATATCTCCTACTAGCTTAATACCACTTTAAAAGTTAAAGATTCAAAGCAGTTAAAAAATTCCACATTTTTATTGAAATTTCCTTGTTTTTATTTCACTTACTACCAAGATACAATGTTCGGTTAGCTTGTGGCGTGAGAGAGCAAATTTGTGCCATCCAAGACAATTGTGGAATCACAATAACTAAAGGGGCCCATTTGGTATGATGTAAAGTAAACATTTACATGTAAAGCGTAGGGACGTAATCACTTTACACCGTTTGTTTTAATTATTTAATGTAAACTGTAGGGTACTTTTTTTTAATACATTTTACGTTGTACCGTGTGAAATATTTTACATGGGGAGAGGGTGGTAAACTACTTTACATTATAAAAATAAAATACACGATTTAATCTTTTACAATCTAGCCCTAATTTTAACAACTTGAGTATGACAGCCGAAGAACACAACTTCGCGGCAAGAAGCTAAGTAAGGTTTATGGCAGAAGAAGAAAACAACCCTAAGTATAAGAATGAGAAAACGTAGACCAGTTGCACCTTTCCAGAAGTAAGCTTCTACAGACTACGGAGTAGTTTTCTTTTTTTATCTAATGGCATGTGGAGTATTATTTTGAGTGTTATTGCATGGGCAGAAATTCTGATTGTAAAATTTAGTTATATATATATATATAGGGGAGAGTTCAAATAAAAAGTACTCTTCCCGTACAAAGTGCGAAAATTGCACTTTTACACGTTTCACTTGCACTTTTGCTTGTTTTCATTGCACTTTTTCACGGTGGCGAAAAAAATTGGTTTATTTACAAAACTGCCACCGTGATTTTGGCCGAATTTACCCAAAATTGAAAAGGCAAAAAAGTGCTACGGAAACCCGAAACAGTGCAACCGAAACGTGTAAAAGTGCAATTTTCGCACTTTGCACGGGAAGAGTACTTTTTATTTGAACTCTCCCCTATATATATATTATATGTATATGTGTATATATATATATATATATATATATATATATATATATATATATATATAGAGGACTTTTCATGTCCAGCCGGCCTGACGGGAACCGCCGTCCGGCCGAGGGCATTTCGGGCACTTCCCGGTGGAATTTTTTGTTGAAATTTTTTGAGCATGTTCTTCATGAAGTCTAGTTTATCCATACCAAATTTCAGCTAAAAATTCAATCGGGAAGGCACTCAAATAATTTCTTGAAGTTAACTGGGCAGTTCATACATATAAACTGCCCAGTTAACTTCACAAAATTATTTGAATGCCTTCCCGATCGAATTTTGAGCTGAAATTTGGTATGGATAAACTAGACTTCATGAAGAACATGCTCAAAAAATTTCATCAAAAAATTCCACCGGGAAGTGCCCGAAATGCCCTCGGCCGGACGGAGCATCCCGTCAGGCCGGCTGGACAAGAACGGCACTCTATATATATATATAGAGGAATGATCCTGTCCAGCCGGAGGGACAGGATCTTCCGTCCGGCCGCCGCCGTTTGGGGCGGTTCCCGGTGGAGTTTTTTGATGAAATTTTTATGGAATGTTCCTCATCAAGTCTAGTTTACCCACAAAAAATTTCAGCTAAAAATTCGATCGGGAAGGCAGTCAAATAATTTTTTGAAGATAACTGCTCCAACTTAAACATATAAAACGCAGTTATGTTTCAAAAAATTATTTGACTGCCTTCCCGATCGAATTTTTAGCTGAATTTTTTTGTGGATAAACTAGACTTGATGAGGAACATTACATAAAAATTTCATCAAAAAACTCCACCGGGAACCGCCCCAAACGGCGGCGGCCGGACGGAGGATCCTGTCCCTCCGGCTGGACAGGATCTTTTCCGTATATATATATATATATATATATATATATATATATATATATAGTATGGATCAAAGAAAAAGTGCTTCCTAGGTGAAAAGTAAGAACTAATCTTGACCATTGGTATGAAAAATGGATGGAAGAGATCAAATTTAATGTGAAAAACGCGGTGGCGTTTTGATAATTTTGAAGAATTTTTAATTAAAATGTTATACAAAAAGTGTACAAGAATATGCAAAAAAGTGTACATGTAGAGCACAAAAGTGCATAACGGTACATCACAAAATGTACACAAGTTCAAAAAAATTGGCAATCTTTTTTAACACTCAAGATTGCACTTTTAGTCGTTTAATATCCACTTTGTACAATAAACATTTGCACATTATTTGATTCTGTGTCTTGTGATTAAAGTTAATCTAATTAATTCATTTACAAGTGATTAAAGGCTAAGATTTGTTCCCATTTTTCATAGGAAGACTACTTTTTACTTGAACCATTCTCACTTTTCAGGTGAGAAGTGTTCTTAGGCTGAGAACAACGAAGTAATTTAAAAAGTTGTAAAAGTTACGCATTTGGCTTTATAAGTTATGTTTAACGTATTATAAGTCTATTAGGACATATATTTCTTGGTAATTAAATAAATATCTTTTTGATAAATATTTTTTTGTAAATATTTTTTAACTACTACTAGTTTTTTTCATTGTAATCTCATACTTCCTCAATTTTTCAGTATAAAATTATACTTTTGATTTAGAGTTGTTGAATTTAAGTTATGATTTCTATTAAATAAGTTACCTTATTGTCTCTATTAGTTAAACTTCGCACTTCTCAGCCTAAGATCCACTTCTCACGTGATCTTTTCCCTATATATATATACAAAACCAAGCATTCCAGCCCAGCTGGTTGTGAGGTTACCGTGCTTAGCGGGAGGTCTCGAGTTCGAAACCCGCTAGGCACATAAGGATTTGAAACTCAATGGATTGAGTTTCAGCCCTGATTACTCCAGGCCCCCCAGCCCCCCCTCCCCAAGACCTCCTGGAGTAAATATATATATACACACACACAAGCACATGCACACACATATAATTCAGCTCGGAAGCACCTCAAATAGACAAGTTTGGACAGCAATTCCCGTCAGAACAACATGAAGTGATCTTATATATATAAAGATAAATATTGGGAAGTTCCGGTGACAGATATGTTACAATGCACAACAAAACGGCTAAAAGGGCGATGTAGTCTTTTTCTAAGAATTTTGCATGTAAAGTTATTTTTCCGAACAAACAATGTAAAAAGTTCACGTGTAATTTAAAAATAGATTACACACATAACCAAACGATGTGTTGTTATTTTACATGTAAAATGTTTAGGTACCCTAAATTTCACATGAAATCATTTCGCGTGTAAAGTTCTAATGTGTAAACTACCAAACGAGCTCAAAGTTTGAAAAACAAAGAACACATCATGCACTGTAAAATTTAGGGACCAAATTGTGATTTTGCCTTATTCATATCAAGAATATTGAAACTGGCATAATATGATGGACTCTAAAAATTTACACCTTTTGAGACAACTGAGGGATAATATTAACAAAAACTGGAGAGCAAAAAATCTTATCATCAAGTGTGGAACAACTGAGGAGTCTGAGGGATCAAAAATCATTTTCTTTCCTTATTTTTAAGAGTAAGGCAAAGTAGCACATTATGAAATTCATAGAATGAGTTCACTAATATATTCTAACATCACTTTCTTTCACTTACTTTTGAGATCTCATAAATAATTACTCGAAGAGAACAAGGTCAGAATGTGCACAGTACCATTACAAACAAGAGAAGAGCTAATGAAAAAGAATATGACTTCCATGCAACATAATCCACAAACCTTGGCCTGCCAGTCAAGCTGTTTGGGACATCTGGAGTGAAACTTTTCAAAACTGATTCAAACATCAGAGGTCGGAGAGGCTTCCCAGTCTCCATAACAACCATCTCTTTTTTCATCGAAGTTGATTTGAGTGGTATATCAAAGTCAGAGATAAACTCAACAAATGCATGTAATGTTGGATACCCAGTCTATCAAGTAAAGGATTAAATTTGAGTTAAACCTCAATGTTGCATAGATTATGAGGAGATAACCACTCGTGAAAAGTACCTGTGGTATGTCACGGGTTGTAAGTTCCTGCAACAGTTGAACAAATGGAGCACAAGAAAGCAGTGCCTGGATGGTGGCATTCAGAAAGCACAGATTGCCCAAGTTTACCAGACCCCGAGGTTGCAAATAATTAATTACCTTAGCAGGCCCATTTGATGCTTCTATAGATGCTATTCTGCAATTAATGTCCTTTGATAACTCATCCAATGCTATACCATTCAAAGAGGTGGACAAGTTCTCAACTGAATCTGGATTAATATGTGATTCATTTCCTGTAATCGAAGCACATTTAGATCGCAATGATGGATGTTGTGCTTTACTGCGGGGTTTGATTTCTTGGGCAGTACTATGGCCATTCAAACCCATAACACCAGCACTTCCATTTTCTTGTACGAAGCTTACTGATATTGGTGTTTTATCTGTACTGCTGGCAGTATTTATGGAGCTTTCCTCATTAAAAGCCTTGGATGGAAGAAACCTTTTAGAAGAATCTACTTTTGTTAGATTTGAGTTAAAAACACCCACAGATCTTAGGGTTGCAGAATCCAAAGAGCCAAATGTAATCTCCACGTCATTCTTTTTTAGGGGGCTTCGCAATGATTTAATCTCATCTTCAGTAAATGATCCAAAAATAAGCAGCTGATAAAAACAACAGGTAAGTAGTAAAGAAAAACATTTTGAAAGTACTGAGTTCGTGATACAGAAAAAAAAGGTTGGTTAGAGGAGTATTTCTTTGGAAGATGGGTAAAAGGAGCATTTAACACGCAACCCCTTCAGAGATAGCATGACTACGAGATTCACTGTATATTAATTGACACAACCCCAATACAATCTTGCAAAGATAGATAAAACTATAAAAGTGAACATATCATCATGAGTAATATGCTCCAGCAGTCGTATTACTCAACAAAACTTCTTAGATTAGACACCTAAAAGATAGAATAGTTTACACGGTTATAGCAGCTGCCAGTTCTCTAATAAAAAGATAGAGGGCACATGCTCCACGCTCTTCAATACATTGAACAGACACTTCCTTAGCCCTCACATCCACAGTTTCACTAATCAGGTCTGATGGAACTACTATAAATTTAAGATCAGGCACCAAGAAATTATCTTGCACTCTCCTTCCACTTGTCCCATGCAGATACAAACTGGAATTGTGAGAGTATAATTAATCCATAGCCATTCACTACTTATTACTCTCCTCTTTCATGAATAAAGTTTATGTTTTGCTCTGATGGATTTCCCTGAATGATGCCCTCTTTCCTTTTTTGGTAACAATAAAAACCTTACTTTAGTGAACTGCCCTCCTTAAATTTCTTACCAAGCACCACTAAATATTCTCAACCGCATATCACACGGGCAAACTTGGAAGTCAAAGGAAAAACATTTGATGCAATAAAAAACAGTACAAGTCAAAGTAGGAACTTTAGAAAAGGACGGTGGGAATATTACGAATGTCATTATGACTACAATTTATAAGCATTAATAGCAAGGTATATCCTGGAAAAATAAAGTCTAACCATGAATCACAAGGTATATCCCGGGATTTGAATGCACATCAGTTAGTTTAACCATGAAAAGCTCGGAATAGCTAATAACTAGCTTGCTATATCAGAATAGCTTAAAAAAGTAAGTACAGCAATTTTGATGTTCCAGAATTTCCATATAGATCTCTAAAAGTAAAAGAATAAAGTCTCCTTTCATCACCTCATGCTCCATGAGGGAGATCTTTAACTAAATGCAAAAAAGAATGATAGGTAATCCAGTCTGTTCACTTCAATAGGTATGAATCATATGATAAATGGATAGGAGATAGAAATAATATAATTGAGAGTTTAAGATCCACAAAAAATGATACTTGCACTGTAGCAGAAGAAAATGAGATGATTTTGAATACCTCCATATTGATCATTTTCGGAAACTTGAGCAGAGAGGATTAATGTATAAATGGCACGGGAGGATTGCACTATTGCAGAAAGAAAGAGAATAGAGATATGGCACGGGAGAATTGCAGAAAGAAAGAGAATAGAGATATCGATATGTTTAGGGGTTGACACTTGGCCTAAATATATCTTCCCAATAGAAAATGGAAAAGGGTTGGATACCTAATAGTGAAAGAAAACATATTGGAAAATTGCATCAGAATGTTCACAAGGAAATTTACTGACTACTCCCTCCGTCCCAAAAAATTGTTCCCGGTTTCCTTTTGGGCCGTCCCAAAAAATTGTTCCACTTTCCCCTTTTGGAAAGTTTTTGTGTGGCTCACATTCATTTACCTTTTTCTTACACTACCACAACCATACATTTCCACTCTATTCCCACTTCCTTAAACTCCGATCCAAGTCAATGCGGGAACAATTTTTTGGGACGGAGGGGGGTACTACATAAAGCAGAACCGTAATTTCCAAATAGATGATTCAAGCTAGCTTGTGAGTATGCAATACTTGAGCACCGCTCAGTCAAGGTTTGGCGTTAAGAACGATGTTTTCTCGATAAATTATTTTATTATTTTCTTATTATTTACTCCTCTTTGCTGACTTGACAAAAGCACACGGAAAACGAAAAAATCGCGAGCAAAACTTAGATATATCACTGTGTGTCACACTGTCACATGCAATGCATATTAAAGTTGAACTGTGCACAACTTTTAATGAACTAAAAATGGGTCAGAATTTGTATTCATCTTTTGATAGGCTACATATGCTTGGTATTTGGTGTCCCCGCATTGAGAATCAGGCCGGGAAAGATGTCCAATACCAAAATCTTAAACAGCTTGAATCCCCAACAATAATCCTATAGAATAAGCACCGAAAAAATGGTATCTTGCAAAAAGAATTTGTATTAATGTAAGTGATACATTGAGTATTTTATGGTTTTTAAATGAAGCTATAAATCCTAAAATTAAAAAAATTACCACCTTTCTTTCACTGCATGCTTGATAAGTGATAACTTAGTGAATATTCATATTGTATAGAATTCAAAACTCATTAAAATGTTATAAAAATTTAGAAATATCATGATATATTTCATAAATGATGGAGCTTGATTTACTTGACATTTCCTCTGGCACTGAACACTTTTTTTTTATTTCGAATGAACTTTAAACTGAAGGGTTTAGGGTTTAGCCGTTTAGGGTTTAGGGGCCTTGGCCATTCCATACAGAAGAAAACACATACAGAATCCCCTCCAAAATCCAACTAGAATAGAGCATTGGCAGAAAGTTATAATTGCAATACTAGCCTATGGGAGCGTAACTCAATTGCTGTGAAATTCATATTTCTAACCAACTTCAATAAAAAAAATTACTCCTATAGTTCTATATTGTACTTTCAACATGTTCACCTCTCCAAAAAATCCAAGGAATCCTAGCCTCTCCTTTTTTCATCCAACTCCCGGAGGACTTATTCATTATTCATACAGCAACAAGACTGCAATAAGTTTGAAATTAAAAAACTGAAATACAACACACACAAAGAAATATCCTATGGTTGAATGCAGTTGCATATTCATGTTAAATTGAGTAGAAACTTCTTGATGAGCCTACCCAACCAGCTATAAATGTATATATGCACTTCGAAGGTTGTGAGGATACACCTATTTAGTATCCTGGATTTTGTGAATCAGAACAAAGGAATGTCCCATATACAAAACTTACATATCATGAACCTCTGGAAAATCCCATATGAATCAAACGTTGACTGAAAGACATGGACAATAATATCCGGATGCAGTTTAATTTACTCAAAATCCATTACTGTAGTTCAACTTTTATGTTCCCAAAGAAATTCTAACAATAAATTTCCGCTGTTGTTTCACCCCCACTATAAAATCTCACCCACCATCCAAAACACAAAACACTATACTTAAATAAGTTTCTGACACGGAAAAATCGCAACCAAAACGAAAATATACACAAGCAAGCAGTATTTTGCAATAGAAGCATAAAGAATATCCAATGTTCACGAATGATACCTCGGGATCATTCATATTCTAATACTGGAGCAGGAAATAATCAGATGAGAGGTATTGAGGATGCCATCGTAGCTGAAAAGGAGCCTTTGAATTGCCTGAATCGTGGAACAATGGCACAAGAGAGGACAGGCCAGGAAGACAGCAGAAGGCATGAAAATGCGGAGAGAGAAGAGAATAGAGGAGAAGAGTATTTATTACGGTTTGCCTCTCCCCCTCTTGTGAGGAAACCGGGATTGAAGCTCAATAATGTGTATTGCAATGGCGGAAAAGAAAGGGTTTTGAGCAGAATGAGAGGATGGAGAGCCCAACGGCGACCATAAGGAAAAGGCTCTGTAAATAATTGGAGAAGACTATTTTAGGAAACGCCAATCAGTATTTTTTTTACTCCGTATGACTTTTTGAGTTTTTTCCCTTTTAAAAAGAGGTGAAGTTTTTATGCAAAAAGTTGATCAATAAGTGATTTTTAGAGCATCTCCAATCGGGTAGTGGATTGGAGTAAAGTCTATCCTACATGGTATAGGAGAGAGATAGAGATAGAATGATTATTTTAATTTAATATGGAGAAAGTGGTGTGTATGGAAAAATGAAAAGGAAGAGAGAGATAGGAGTAATTGTAGACAATGTCTATGACAATGTCCACAAATAGACATTACACGGGAATCGAGGAGCAAAAGTGGATGAAAAGTGGGTTAAAAGTGATATAAAAAAATGAAAATGAAAATAAATATGGAGATATGTAGGTCCTACACATAAAATTTGTGAGATAAAAAATGGGACCCAATTGTAAGAGTGTGTAAGAGAATAGACATCCCATTGGAGATGCTCTTATGGATCAATAAGAGAGAAATACAAATTATACATCCAATGGTTTTACATTATAATCGAATATTTATGTAATTTTCTTTAGCATTTGTTCATTTATTAATCATAATATGCTCATTGTATTAAGGAATTAAAATCAAAATTTTCTAGGCCTGAGCAGGAGCGAGCTGACTCCCCTGTGGACCCCATTGGCTAGCTTTACCGGAGAGCGCATTGATGCAGAGGGGACGATTTCCTTGTGAGTTGATACCGGCGATGGACCTCACCGCGCGGCAATCCACGTGACCTTCATGGTAGTCGCCTGAAGTGCGCGCATAACGCCATTCTAGGCCGCACGGGCTAGGTGGACCTGGAGGCCATTGCTTCCGTGCATCACTATTGTATCAAGTTTCCCACGGAGATAGTGGTGGGAGTGGCCCGCACGGATCCTCAGACTGCAAGAATGTGCTATCGGGAGGCCGTGAAAAAGATGAATGTCTGCGACATGCAGGTGAATAGCATTACGGAGTCCGCCCATCATGACAACATCATAGCCCGTCCAGAGGTACATGGTTGCCGAATGATGGGATTTCATCGAGGCAAAGTTATCACACTGCTCAGCATCCGCCACATCCGCCCGGTCATCCACGCGGAGAGGTTATCCAACGTGGTCCTAGCCCCAAAGCCCCCACCTGGCGGATGTGTGTGGATTATTCGGATTTAAATAAGGTGTGCTCGATGGATCCATGCCCCATGCTGAGGATCGACCTTTTGGTGGATGAGACTGCTGAGTGCAAGCTACTCAGTTTCATGCATGGACGCATTCTGGGACTACCATCAGATATTTATGCACCCGAGCGATGCAAAAATAAATACATTTGTCACCTTGGACGATGTGAACTGCTACATTGTTATGTCGTCCGGGTTGAGGAGTGTGATAGCTACCTTTCAGATGATGATCGGGACATTGTTCAAGTAAGTACTCGGGGTCATCATGGAGGCCTACGTGGACGATATCCTGATCAAAAGTCATAAGAAGGGAGACCGTGTCCGGGATATGGAGAGGGTGTTCCGCATCATAGAAGGGGCCAATATGCGGTTGAACCACAAGAAATGTGTCTTTGCCATCAAGGACAACAAATTCCTCATGAACATGATGAGAGAAAGGGAAATTGAGCCCAATAGAGAGAAGGTGAAGGCCATCATGGACACGGAGGACCCAAAGAGCCTGAAGGGCGTGCAAAGGCTAATTGGACGGCTTGCAGCCTTAAGTCGTTTCATGTCAAAGCTGGCGGATCGGGCAATTCCTTTTTTCCAAATCATGAAGAAGGAAAACCCATTTGGATGGACCCCGGAGTGCCTAACGGCATTTGAAGATTTTAAGCTATACCACTCCTCGCCGCTCGTCCTCACAAAGGTCGGCCCGGATGAGCACTTATATATGTATTTAGCGGTGGCCGACCTTGCCGTAATCTCGATGTTGCTCAAGGAGACAGATGACGTTCAACGACCGATATATTTTGTGAGCAAGGCGTTGAACGAACCGGAGACGAGGTATACACTGATGGAAAAAATGATCATGGCTCTCATTGCAACGATCAAGCGCCTCACACCCTATTTTCAGGCTCACCTCGTGACAATTTACACTACACAGCCACTCGCCACCATCCTGAGGAATCATATGGCTAGCGGGCACATCACTAAATGGTCTCTCATGATCAGGCAGTACAACATGGAATTCAAGCCAAGGCTGATGATTAATGGATAGAGGTCTCCTTCACGGATTCGAACTGGGTAAGTGAAATGTCTGCCTATCTGAAAGATGGGATGCTCCCCGAGGCTGGTCCCATATATTATAAACCGGGGATGATAAAAAGGAGAGTCCCGAACTTCGAAGTTATATACAGACATCTCTATAAGAAGACGTTCGAGGGCCATACCTGAAATACTTGTCGCCCGGTTCAGCAGCAGCAGTGATGGAGGAGATCTACATGGGGATATGTTTAAGCCACAGGGGCCGCACACGCTAGCCAGAAAGATCATTCTCCAAGGGCACTACTGGTCAACCATTTAACAAGATTGTTTCAATGACACCCAAAAGTGTGCCATGTGCCTGTAGTATGCCCATAGTCGGACCAGAATTTGGACCTGAACCGGACCGGAATGGACCGGTCCGGACCGGACCGATATTAACAGGTCCGGGTTTCGGTCCTATGATTTTCATGATTCCGGGTTCCGGTCCGGTCCGGGTCAAACCCGGAAAAAACAGGCCCCGACCGGTAACCCGTCAAATTATTACTCCGTACTATGTAAAAAAATTACCTTGTTATGTATCATTAGTCATTATGTTTTAGGGCATGCATTCTTCTTTTCTCGTAGTATTATATATAAATATGTGGAGTATATATTTTACACTAATGAAACTGCTACACCACCAAGCACAACACCCACCAATACCATGAGTGTACATGTTTTCTTTTTACAATGCTAATTGGCTAAAAGCTTAGTGTGTTGGCTTTTGATTTGTTTCCTTGTTGCAAGAGTGTACCACACATATACTTAGTAGTTAATATATTGTTGAACATGCATGTGATTTAGTTTTTTATTAAGTTACTCACATTCTACCATTTTAGTTTGGGAAAGATTTTAATTTTTTAAACTCGTGATTTAATTTGGGAAATTAATTTTACCTTGATAATTATATATCTAAATTGATAAATTAGTTCATAAAAACTATTTAGTCTATTTAGCACATAAGTTTAAAGTTTTAAAACGACGATTTAGATAATATGCATTTTTTAAAATACCGGGTCAATTAGGGTCAAAACCGGACCGGACCGGAAAATTCAGGTCCGGGCCGATCTGGACCGGTAAGTATCAGGTCCGGTCTTCGATCCAGGTAAAATGATGATTCCGGTTTCGGTCCTAACCGGTTCCGGTCCGGTCCAGTTTTGGACCGGTGCACACCCTTAAGTACTACTCATACCAACAAGATATATCTCCTTTTAAGGGAGCTCATCAGCTAAGAACTCCAAGTTAAGTTTGCTTGCACGGGAGTAGTATTGGGATGGGTGACCTCTGGGAAGTTTCTCAGGGTGCGCACGAGTGAGGACAAAGTGTGTTGTAAAAGCTTGTGCTTGGTTTGTGAGGACGGTGTACTGATCTGTTGGATATCGGGCAGATACTTAGCAGGGGAGGATTCTGGGGTTTGGTTGTGATTGGTTTATAGGTGCAACGAGGACGTTGAAATCCTAAGTGGGGGTGATTGTAATACTTGAGATTTAATTTAAACGGATTAATAGTACTACTCATACCAACACGATGCATCTCCTTTTAAGGGATCTCAGTCCAGAGATGAGGGCACAAACCGCCGCAGTGGGGTCCCTAACCTGTTGCAATTCCAGTTAACAATGCTCGTTGTATTGCAAGATGCTCCGCTCAATTAGAATTTGTCCCTCATACTACATCCCACTCGATGTGGTTAACGACGTAATAATATCATACACATTTCTTCTCTAATCTTCTTAATACAATATAAATATAAAATACAAATAACTCATTGTAATATCCGAGATTAATTTAAGAGGATTAATAGTACTACTCATACCAACAGAGGTGCATCTCCTTTTAAGGGAGCTCATCACCCAGAACTCCAAAGTTAAACGTGCTTGCACGGGAGTGGTCTTGGGATGGGTGATCCCGTGGGAAGTTCCTCAGGGCGCGCATGAGTGAGGACAAAGTGCGCGTTAAAAGCTCGTGGTGGTTTGTGAGGACAGTACTAGAGGTCTGAAGGGTGTGTGGAGTAACTACCTCGGGTCCAGCGGAGCCAAGGTGTTACAAGTGGTATCAGAGCAACCCTGCGACAGTATGTTGATCCGTTGGATATCGGGCAGACACTTAGTTGGGGAAAAGATTCTGGGGTTTGATTAAGATTGGTTTAAGGGCGCAACGAGGACGTTGTGATCCTAAGTGGGGGTGATTGAAATACCCGGGATTAATTTAAGAGGATTAATAGTACTACTCATACCAACAGAGGTGCATCTCCTTTTAAGGGAGCTCATCACCAAGAACTCCAAAGTTAAACGTGCTTGCACGGGAGTAGTCTTGGGATGGGTGATCCCCTGAAAAGTTCCTCAGGGCGCGCATGAGTGAGGACAAAGTGCGCGGTAAAGGCTCGTGATGGTTTATGAGGACAGTACTAGCGGTCTGAAGTAACTACCTCGGGTCCCACGGGGCTGGGGTGTTACACTCATATACTTCTAATCTTCATATTTGTTATACCGAAATCATTGCAATCATGCATTCTAAGTATAGATTGCTCAGTCGGTGCTTTTAGTTATCAATCTTAACAACATAGTAATGAAATATTTCTCATATAATTAACTAAGAGTTATGAAAAGTTTATTATTTAAGTGAATCCACAATTGGTTCGAAACCCATCCCAGTCAAGGATGTTGGCATTTAACATTGAAATATTGAACAGATACTATAAGAGACTAGAAAGGCTGACAAAAAAAAGTGAATCCACAATTAAGAAATGTTAAAAAGGGTCTATGAACAAGGTATAGTTATATTGTGTA